GCGGAGTCGCTTTTCCCGGAAACTTGTTGTTTTTTATGAATGTTTTTGTTTTGATTTCTTTATTTTGAAAATTTTGTATGTTTATATTGTTTGTTTATATTGTTTGTTTATATTGTAGCTGAACCTTTTTATTTTTTTACACTAACTTTAAGAATCTTATTTTAAAACTTTTTTCTATTTTTCGAAATATTTAAGTGCTTTTATGAAGGAAATATTATTGCTATATAGTAAACTAGACAACCTATTAGAAGTCTAATATACTACTAGTGTATTTGACTTCTAATATGCGTTCAGATTAGTACTGCTAGTATTACTAGCAGTATTAATCTTTATGGTACAGGTATTATAGTTTAGGCAGGAATAACTATAAAGAGTTTTTGACTGTTAACAGTCTTAAACTCTATAAAGTTGTTCCTGCCTAAACTATAACGCCTATATCATACAGAATAATACTATCTATAACTAATGTCTAATAACTAATAATTACTAGTAATATACAAGTGTCTTATAATTAGTTATTAGACACATTAGTATAGTAATTAGATCTATATATTATAAGATAGTTATTATTACTTATTTAACAGTTGACAAGATAGTTTTGTTCGCCATATTGTAGTGGATAAAACACTCTTATATTTGTGATCTACAATGGTATAGTTAGGAGAATGCATGACTACTGGTATAGAATAGAATACAAGATAGAAAACAAGACTAAATAGAAAGCAAGACTAACTAGGAAATAGGAAATAACGCATTCACCTTCCTTTATTAAATTAAGAAACTATGATTGTATCAAGTTAACTATATTTTATGGTAGGCAAGTTGGCATACCTGCAAGACTTACAAGTAAAGAACATAAAAATGCCTTGAACAATATATGATTAAATGAACAAAGAATAAAAAATGCATTATCTGAAAATCAATTAGAATGTAGAATGAAGATTAATTATCAGTCTGGAAGTGGGTTTAGTTGTTCCTCTCCTGTCTTAATTCCTAGAGATACAATTAAAAAAAAGTTGTTAGGTTTGGCTGATATTAGTAGTCAGGTTGGAGTTTCAGCAAAAACGCTATTTATTCTAGAACACGATTTTTACAAAAATTCTGTTTTGAATAAAATATTCTAAAAATATAATAAGGCAACTTAACGTGATCTTGTACAAATAATTGCCATCGCCTTGCTACACTAATAGCTGATTATACGGTTTCGGATGCTGAAATGACTATCAAACTTCAGCAGCTTACTATCTTTTTTATAGGGAAAGTGTCTTGGAGCTTTTTATCAAAACTCCTGTATATATATAAAGATATTTTGATTTGTTTGAATAGTTTTTAAAGTAGCCATTTTTATTTTTTGCAAGAAATATTGTTATGAGAAAAACAAAAAAACACAATAAAATTTACTAAAGTTTTTTTAACAAGATGTAAAGCAAGACTTTTAAAAGCAATTAAAGTTAAGAGTAGCACTGCAAGCAGTTTAAATGAATTAGGAATATATCTTATTTACTATTTAATTTTTTTTTTGGCATGTTTTTATATGTTATAAATAAAACAATTAAATTTAAAAAACAATTAAAGTTTTATTTGTATATCAAGTTATTTTTTATATGGCTATTTTTAATTGATAATTAAATAACTTTTATCAATATTCTGTACTCAAGTTTAAAAAAAATACAAATGAAAACTTTTTCTACTGAATATGAAAGCAGTTCAAGCAAATTGTAGTTCCATTTTCAAACTAATGATTATCAAATAAATAAAACTGAAAAAAGTTCTGTCTCAGTCTCAAGTTTTATAGATAATCTGACTCTATTTATATATTACAACTTTTTTTTTTATTTTGAAGATTTTTTTTAAATGTTAATGATCACATTAGACTATGAAAAAAAAATTGTTATTTATGGTTATATTACTTTAGGGATTAAATTGAAAGTTTTCTTCAATAGCAGCTAAAATGGTGGTGCAAAGTGGGCTGTGCCTTCAATACAAGAGTAGAAAAAAATAGCCTACATAATAATCGAATAGCTTATTTATTTTATTTTACCTTATTAATGAACTTAAATTGGCTCCTTCACTTCAAATATAGTTCCTCTAATATAGTGAATAATACTTATATATGCACTGTAAGCAAATACTTAAGTGTATAACTATGGAGCAAATTTTGACAATTCAACTTTTAATAAATGTGTTTTTATTTTTTTCAATTTTTATTTTATTGTATCAAGAGTATGTTTAGACATGAGGGCAAGGAGATGGGTAAAATTTAAGAGCATTTGAGAAAGTTCTACATATGTGAAAACTTTTGAGTCTTGTGAGTAGCTATAAAAGTTCTATAAATCTTATTTAAGTCGTAGGTATAATCAAAAGGACAATATAAGTGAGAGAGTGTTTTTTATAAAGATTTCTAAAGTATGTTAGTTTAATCACAGGGTATCACTTAATGCATTTACTTGGATACCCTGATTAGGTATAATAATATTGTATTAAAAAGATTTATCTTTTTAATACAATATTGTGGTTAATTTTTATCAAATAAGATGGAATAAAACAAAAAATTAAGGGTAAATGTTAAAATAATCCATAAACTTTTTTTAATTTATATCACTTGTCACAAGGTGCTGATTTATTCTTATTTTACTTTTGATTTGAGTAGATAACTTTGTATCTTTATTTTAAATTACAGCACATATCTTTTCTATTTCAGGTCGACAAGATATTATTAAGTTTGGATCAAAATACAGATCTAGCCCAGACACTGTTGAAAACAAAATCATTAACGAAATAGCATAAAAGATGCGAACCTTTTCCGAAGTTCTAACGACATTAAAACTTATTTTTTTAAAGTTAATTTAAAACAGTTCCGAATAAAATTTATACTTTGAAGTAATGTTTTTTCAATTAACTTTTTCCCTTAAAGTTTCATTTATAAAACCTTTTAATTAATTTTGTGAACCACGGCGATACCAGTGACACAAAAATACACACTTTTTTTCACCTCGGCCTGTGTATTTATAAGAATTGTTATCCCGCGGGGAGCGCATTTTTTTATTGTCGACTTTAAGGAGATCTAATAAAAAAAAAAGTTAAAGTCAACTTTTAATAAAAAAAAATTTCTCGAAAACGTTAAGTCGACTTGACATTGAAAATTGAAGAAAAGTTTTAAAATATTTAATTCCCAATTGAACAAGAAGCCATTTCATTAATTTTTGAAAAAAAAAAATTTTAATTGATAAAGTTATACTGATTTTTGAGGCGTCGACTTTCCTCGGGTATTTTATTGCTGTCGACTCTAAGTTGATCTAGTGGTATATATATATATATATATATATATATATATATATATATATATATATATATATATATATATATATATATTAAGTATATATTTGTATACAAATATATATATACACACACACACACAAGCTGAGGGGAGTGTTACCATTATCCAAATTAATTTTTCTTTCTTTTTTTTTGTTGTTTTATATTTTTGAAGGAAATAAAAATATAATGTTAAGCTTAATTTTTTTTTTTTTTAGTTAAACAATGAAGACCAAAAAATGAAAAAAAATGCATTTTTAAGCATTTTTGCACTATATTAGTGTTCTGCTTATTAACAAGATACTTTACGTATTAAAATATTTATATTTACATAATAAAATCATAATTATGATTACTTTCTGAAGAAATTAGTTGGCAAACATAGTTCATGTTTGTAAATTTATTTTGTAAACAAAGAATTCTTTATATAATCACATTTTTTTCTAATTGTTCTTTTATTCTTATATTTGTTTGAAACGAGGAAGGTACTTTGTCTTTTATCCTCATTATGCGATTTATTGATCAACTCCTATTAAAAAATATTTAAAAGTAATGATCTTGTAAAATAAATTAAGATTTTAACATAAACATTAAGTACCAAACATATAAAATAGTTACCTGAACTAGTTTTATAGCCCTCTCACTACAGTCATTTACTACTTTAAGATTATTCACAAATTGTTTGAATTCTAAGTAATAGTGAGTTAGATCCCATGTCTCAGATGGAGTCTTAAGCCACTGTACTTCAGCATTTGCATGGTTTAAGATATGAAAAATTAACCAACTCTGGTCAGTTATAAGCGGGGTCGAACTTGGGGGAGTATCATCATTAAACAAGGGAGTTCAGTATATTTAAATTAACTTGATGTCTTTTTATGGCATAAGTTGTAGGTCTTGGGGTTGAGTACAACTTCTTGGCAATGTCACTCCGTTCTCGTACATTTTTGTCAACAAGAGACATAACTAAAATATTTGGGTCTATGTACCAGGTGTGTCTCTTTAGAGACTCTATAACAGGTTTTGCCTGGACAGGATTAATTTTTGAGTATCTCATCATTTGCTAAAGAGCTTTCATATCCTAAAGATTTTTAGACTATGAAATATTACACAAAATTTTCAAAGAAAAAAAAGTAATAAAAAGCAAAATGATTAAAAACTTTTAAAAGATAAAAATGTCACCTGATATGGAGCGACAGCCGGAATGTCAGCCTTTATAAACCACTCAGTGTAAAATACAGCTGTGAAGAATGCCATATCATTTATTTCTTTCTTCTCAAAATCTGTTAAGCTAGAAATATTGTTTAGAAGGAGATACATTTTCAGAAAGTATATTCCCTTTGCCATAAATCTGGCATGGTGTACAGGCCCAGGTTTTCTTAGCCTGTACTGTTCATCACCAGATAAAACCATTGTTGTCAATTCCACTAACTCTAGATAATCAGACCTACATCCATCCTAAATAAGATTATTTATTTAGACACAAAACAGTACCTTACTAAACTTATTTTATTATAGAGTATTCACTTTATTCAAAATTTTAAATACCTTTTTCATTGTTTTCATTCTGATAATATTTTGAGAAAAAGATAAGGCTTCTTTGAACTGTACCTGCAGCCAGCTATCAGAAATATCTTCAGTATCTACTTTGTTTAACACAATGGAATTTTGATCAATTGAGTTCCATA